TGATTGGGGATAGAAAAAGGAAATGAAGTAATTGAGTCTCATAAAAGAACTTTGAGCAGAAAAGATAAAAATGTGTAGGAAAGGAGTGATTAAGTAAGATTTTATTATTAAACTCGTCCCTATGTGACTGATTTGTTAGGCATAAGTTGGGAACAAAAAGGTTAAGACTTAATTACTAACCCGTAATATTCTCTGTCGGTGAGTAATCACACTCTTTCCCATTTTATATTTTCCTTTTACAGTGCTCGTTAATTATCTACTATATATTGATGGAGTTTCGTAGGTTAATTCTCCAATCCAGTTTTTTTTTCATTAGATAAATAAACATGCCTAATCCTTCTCGCTTAATATGAACATAGTGAGTTCAATCCGTTTTTACTTTTTTTTTTTTTTATACTCTTCAAAAATAAACTTATAATGAATTTATGTTTGATGAATATTTTTATTTTATAACATATATTTTTAAAATAATTATTCTCATTATGAATAAAAATATATTATTTAACCCTTTGATAGGCCAACATACTTTGTCCAATTTCTTTGATGGACAAATCGACCCTTTTCCAACTTTAGGTGGATTGATGTACATAATAACCCTCTATTGGCAGCATGTCCTTGGTGTTGGTATCCTGCTGTTAATAGGTAAGAGACTAGTTTCTTTCTTGATAACAATGAATATATTCGTCATTTCGCCTATACTTTATAATTTGAAACTCACAATTATTTTCTTATGTTGAAAATTACTTACAAAATAACACTTCAACCTATTGTAAACAGATTTTTTATTTTTTATTTCTTTTTAGGCTTTTGACCTTCAATTAGAAAAATAATCCAACGGTCCCGGGTTGACTTGTAGGATGAAGATATTATGTTTTACAATAAATTTCATACACATTAAGATACATCACACATAGTAGAAAAATAATGCAGAATAAAACACTAGTATGAAATTTATCAGAATATTATTTTAATATTAATCATTTTAATACAATTCATATTATTTTGGCCAAAAACATATTTATCTTATACATGTTTGTTTTTGTATATTTTATATATAATTTTTGAAGATAAAAATATTCTTTAAACTATTTTAATTATTACATAGACATTCTTTGAAATTTTTTGAGATTCGTGATTTCTTATATTTTCTTTTAACATTTACATAAACTCTTTTATAGGAATGCATAATACAATATTTTTTTCTAAACAAAACAAAATGCTAGTATATCGTATAGAAGATATTAATATAAGAAAAGTGTGTTGTTAAATAAGAATAAATAAAACACATAAGAAAAAATTTAATGAAACCTGTTGTTATAAGTACCATAAAGTATTTGGATTTTGGATCAATTGATAATAAATTATTTCTGTTTTATTAATAGCCTCGAATTCGTATTTTAAATATATAAATACGTTAAATACTTAAAAGGAAAAGTTTATCTCTCATAACAATTTTACTAACTTAAATAACACCATTCTTAATGAAAGATATATGTGGTATAAAAATAAGAAGAAGAAAAAAAGCTTGCTATAAGTATAATTTACTCTTATCACAATTTTTTTTGGAGTACAATTATAGAACCTTTTAATATCAACAAATTAATCATGATATAAACTTTCAACATTAGAGAGATTCTAAAAAGAAAAAAAATAATAATAAAGAGTTGTTTTTCTTTTAATTTACTTTTACTATTATCTCCGCCTTAATTAACTGGCCTAAGAATTCTGCCAAAAAAGAACAAATTTATATAATTACTAATCAGTAATTAGGGCAACACCGCTAGCAAATGGAAAATGGAGTATATAGTTATAGTTATAGTTATAGTTATCACATTAGTGATTAGATTATTGAGACAATTTCTCTCATCACTGAAACTCAATTGTTTTAGACCAAAAAATGAAATACGATAATGGGAAGGCGATAAAATTGGTAACCAAAAAAGGAAAGAGTGATTCTGCATCCTCCAAAAAATACCAAACATCTTCTAAATACACAGTAAAAAAAAATATTTAAATTATTACCTAATATGTAATATATTTTGGATAAAATTTTCGGAAGATGAATCATTTTTCAAAAGGAAAAGGATACAAAGGGACAAACCTCAAGTCCTGTCTGTCTGTATGGATTGGATTTGGATGCCCAGTGTTCGCTGAAAATTGAATAGACATGATCTAGACCTTTTGCACCCTTTTTTGGGCAACTTGACAAATTGGGTCCACACTATCCCTCTTTTTCTTTTCTAAACTAAAATAAAATGATAAATTAATTCAAATATTACAAAATTAAGGTGGGATTTAAGATAATGTTGCAATCTCTCTCTATTTAAGTCTATATATGTATATATAAAATTTGCAAAAAAAGTTAGATTTGACTTTTTAAAATGAGAAAATATAAATTAAAAATAAAGTGTATTAATAATAATTATTTAGAAAATTTAAAAATGGTTTTCTAATTAATGGTATTGTTATATTTTATTCTCTAAAGTGGAGCTCCGCATTTTATCGATCATTTTATTTTTATTTTTTTGTTATAAAAATTCATATAGATTTTTAAGATACAAGGATAAAAGAAAATTTATTTTTTTAAAAAAAGAAAGGGAAAAAAATGGAAATCGTGCTTGGAACTATTGCCAGGCGTTTTACTTTTGTTTTTATAAAGAGTAAAGCTAGAGCCTCCGAAAAATTTGGCGGAATGATTGTCCGAAATTTAAAATATTAATATTTTTTAATAAATTTATTATAAAATAATTATTTAATTTAATAATTTATAATTTAAATTATTATTTTATTTATTCGGACAGAATTTCGAATACTCAATTCGGATTATGAATCATTTTCCTTTTATAAATCGTCCTTTGTGGAATGTGGAGTGATGTAACACGAGAACTTGTGTTTTACTGAAAATTGAATTACAGCACCGCACTTCATTTGCTTTGTATTTATGGCTTCGGGTGAATTATTTTTCTCCTTCCTTTGTCCATGCCAATCATACTATCAAAGAATTTTTGTTTCTACCTTATTTCACTCTTCTCTAATTCATTCATTTCGAAATAATGCAAAGCAAAAATAGTATTAGACAGTACTAATACAAAACAGACTATACATCTTGTATAAGAAATACACCATAGAACTTAAAGAGAAGAAAGATAAGTTGAAATATGAGAAATGTTGAAAAGATCTTACTTAATATTGATTAAAAGATTAATACAAGCTCCAAAACAAGAAAAGCTGAAAGTATTTGAAGATAACAAAGATTTAAGATAAAGCAAGTATTAAGTTCGCTTTGCGTTGCACCTCCATATTAATAGAAAGGAATGAAGTCTCGAAATGCTACCTCACTTCTCTTGCTATGAGGTTTTAGCTCTCGGATATTATGTGATTCTTGGTTATGTAATTCTGGGTTTGAGATGTTATTTTCACGTGATTTCGAGTATTGGGATATTGTTTAATGTGATTTTATATCTTGGGATGCTGTTGTCGTGTTTGTGAATCTATGTTGGTCAAGGTTTTAAACTATTACTTATTCTAGCCATTCAGTTGTCTTTTTAATCAAATTGGCAAGATTGAATTCTAGCTCATTCATTCTCATTTGATTGGAGCTACTTCTTCACCTCATTCTTCTTAGTCTTGTTGCTCTCTAATGTAGAGTTCCAGACATAAAACCTGTTTCAGTCTCTGGAAAATTCCTTTGAATAAGTGACTGAGATTAAAACTGTCACTTGGAATTTTCTTGAAGAATAATGCCTCATTCTATTCCTGAATAATTTCTTTTGGTTTTTTTCTCTTTTTGATATTGAGGTGATTTTTGAAGCCATTATCTTACCTTTTCTTTGGCGAGTAGTTTCAAGTGAAATGCTGTGAACAGTGGAAGAGAATAATTTAAAAACATAATCACGTCAAACTCTCATGAGAATATCCTAAAATTCAGAATTACCTGGGAGCTTCATCTCCTGACTAAAGTCACATAATAGGAGTATTCCAAAACATAAAATCAAGTGAAAATATCCCACCCTTATTATGTTGAGTGATTTTTACAATTTAATAAATTTATTATTCTAATTTAATAAAAACTTCAAATTAGAAAGACCTATTTAAAAGTTCAATAACACTAAGAATTTACTGATTGATTTAACTTTATATAAACTTTCAAAATTGATCTTAAAGGGTTAATTTATCAAATCTAAAATATTCAGACAGTAGTTTGTGTTTTTATTAAGTATTTAAGAATTAATACAATCACCATTCAGATGTGTATGTTATAACACCGTGTTCTGCATACTCTGACATAACAGATCATTCACTTTAGCAATTCTACTACTGCACAATACGGTGCGATAAAAATAGGACTAAAGCAAAGTGACACGATCCTAAACCCGTTAAATGAAGGGAACAATATTTTCCCTTCTTCCAAACTACCATTCGCGGTGGTTAGAAAGTCAAACAAATAAGCATCAAAATCAGAAACTCAGCGGTGGTGGGGACCTCTAGAGTACTGGCAACCAAGCAAAATGAAGTAAAGAGTATTTATTTTGCACCTCTTTCAACCGTTTGGATTTAAAAAAAAAAAAAAAAAAAAAAAAAAAAAAAAAAAAAAAAAAAAAAACTGAATTATTTAACAGAAAAATGTCTCAGCAATCTATGTCTACATCTAATTAAATAATTGAGATATGGATGGTGATATTTTCCCAGCGAAGAAAAGAACGCTACCTACAATAATAAATTACCTTTTGCTTCCATAATTATTATTTACTGTTCAGGACCTTCCAACTTTCGTATGGTACTCAATATTTTCAATCCGTTCTGTCCCTTGACTTTAAACAAGATACACCAGAATTTCTATCATTAAAATGGTTGGATCCTGCTCTTTGTATAGAGTCAGTCTCCCTAAAACTACTGCTACTCCTACTTGTATCTAACTTCCTATGCTCTATATTTGTGTCAGGACGAAAATGAGGAACACTTTCCCCACTCCTTTTAACATCCATTAGTCTACTGTACAAAAGACCGTCTACCCCCACCTTTGGACCTGAAGGAGGTGTTTGGAACCCAGTTGAATGTGGCAAAACTGAATCATATGGATCCATATCGGAGGACGCCGAATATATAGATTTCAAGGGAGAAGATGGCAATGCAGAGAAAATGTTGGAATCGGAATTTCTCAACATGCCACCAGAGCCGCGTCCCGAATCACCAAAAATATAATCAGCAAAGTCATCAGTACTGGTTGAATCACAGGTGCTATCTGTACTGCAAGAAGCTACATCAGAATTGCTGCTGAGAAGGGATGAATTATCACTTGATGAGTCTTCTTCCAAAATCCTTTTCCTTTGGTGAAACTTTGAATAGATGGTATCTAAGGAGAGAGAACCATCTGGAGAAGACAAACTAGTTATGCATTCACCAGCACCAGAAACTGCAGATACTCGTCTCGACTTCATTGTAACAGTTTTTCCATTGAGTTTCCATTTTGAATCTGAAGATATTATACTGTTCCTGATTACTCTTGGGGCCCTAGGTGAGCACCTACCAGGTGGTTCAGATAGTCAAAGAAGCAGATGAGATATAATAAAACAAAATGAAACTACACAGATGCGAAAAATAAGATATTACCCAAAAATGCAATCATTAATCAGAGATGGATTACCTTGCGTAGAAAAGCATGTATGCTCCTTTTGCCAAGACGCTTTCCAATTCAACAGCTGTCACCTGCAAGACAAGTATGAGAGATGATAAAATGAGTTCTAAGCAACAGCTGCAGTGGAAATATATTATTGCAGACAAAGTGTGTATGTATCTTAAATCCACAAACACGATACAAGTCTAACATTGGAATCCTTCAGTGTAGTGGTCAAACTCACTAATCTCGTGAATGGCTAACACCTAAAACTAAGTCTTTCATGCAATTTATACAATGGGATTTAATATAGCCACATCAGAGGTTTTGCAGATTTCCTCATTGGCAGAATTAACTTTTCAATTGGCTTGATTGGTTTAACTGCTCGTGTAATTTTCAATAAATTAACAGACAGTAAGTACAAAAGTTCAACCTCCAGTTCACTCCACAGACTTCATTGATATTTGTAAAGTGATGTTTCACCAACAGTAAGAAAAGAGCATTGATTTGAAAGACGCGTTCATCCATATAAATTGAGTTTTAAATCTGAAAAAAGGGTTTTGCAGCAAATTGGCTACGAGATCTTTCATTCGTGGACCTCTGTCATTCTTTATCTTTTGTCTACCATGCATGTTTGGAATTTGGATTAGCTTATTTTGGGGATATAGTCACTTCTCTTTTTCTTTCATTTGCAGTTTTATGGAAAAGAGTAAAAAAATATCCCACAAAATTAATCGTTTCCCTAACAATCACTTATTGTGCTAAGGTAGAATTCTGATTTGCAAGTTCGGAAGTAGCTATGAAGAAAGGGTTTTGTGGAACGAATGTGTTTGGGGACCTTTCAATCACGGACTCTGGTTCAGGCAGGTGCCCTGGCTATCATTCATTTATGGAGCCTTGTTTAGGCAGGTGCCTTGCGTTATAATAGTATTCAAAGTTCTATTGTCATGAGCTGAGCAAGGGTTAAGTGTTTTGTTTGGCTATAAATAATAGAATTAATGATAATGAAGTCTTACATTGTTTTTATGTATACTCACAGATTATGTATTTAAAATTTTATCAAATATTGCTTATAACTAACTAAAGAGGATCATTTTAGTTTTATCGGAAGGACTACTAATTAAGGAAAGCATAAATCCATAGTACATTTAAGAACCAAAGAAATATGCTCTCAAGATATGAAAATAAATGGAACTAAGACATACCACACTATCATCAACCTTGAACCACTTGCTTTGGAAATTCTTCACATAGCTAACATAGTGACCCGAAGAGGCATCATTCATGATATCCAGGTGAACAACTACCCCATATAGCCTGTATATAGGCAAATCACTAGTCCCACTCATGAAAGGGGCCAAGTCAAGTATTTCAGGAAACCGAATAGGTTTATTGAGCTTCCCATATTTTCCTGACTGGCAACACACAAAATATTAAATCTCCATACAAAATGAGTGGTAAAATCTTATCCTTAAATTTAACAGAAATACCTGAAATCTCTTTAATGCAATTGTAAGAACATTAGGTGCCTCCAAAACTGTCATTTTCTTCTTGGCCTTCTCATAAGATTTACAACTGCTTAACACAGAAATGTAAGGAAACTCTTTTAACTTCAAAAACATGGAAAGACAATAAGAAAACTTGCACATTAGTAGAACTCCAAACAATGCGTAAAATGTGACCACACTTAACACATCAAAAAGTGTATACATATACACATATAAACTGAAGAACAAGAATGCATTTTTTTGGGCCAATAGAACCCCAAAGAAAAGAAATTGGAGAAACAAGAAAACATTATCCTTTTTTTGGGCAATCAAATCCTGAACATGGTAGTAACAATAAAATACAACTATGAGCTCATTTAATTTGACAGGTTGATTAACAAATCAGTGGCACAAAAGCTGAGCTGTTTTTGGTGGGTGTAAATATGTAGCACAACCATTTTTTGAAATTTAAGAGTGCATTACCAAACTAAACAAAATAGAAGACTACAATCATTAAACAAATAAACAACGAGAAAATAAAAGATTTAATTCAAACACAAGCCATAAGTATCAATTTCCAATTTAACTGGTTAGCACTATGCAAATTTCCAAATAAGGCAATGTGCACACCATTGTAAACCTCAGAAGGAAGTTTAGCACATGCCATGTAATGAAAATTCTTGCAGACCTTAATAGAGATATTACTTCTCTCAAAAACTTTTGAGGTTATACAAAGCAGTTTCCCTTATTATGTTAAATATTTTATATTTTTATTTCATATTTCATTAGCATCCATAAAATGTATTATAGGTAGAATGACGTTAGCAACCTTATCCAAAATGGGGTAAAACATCAACTATATTTAGTCTTATTTTGGGGGGTTACTCTACTCTTAGCAAAGTAAGACATGTGATGTCATCAAACCTCTCTTGTAGCTGTCGCTCAAGGTCACAGATACTAAGCGTGAAATATTTTCTCATTCAATTTAATTTCTAATCTGCAGTATCCAATTTAAAGTCACGCTCACACATTTACTGAAAAGAGGTGTTTAGAAGTTTGTTCTACAAAAACCCCTCAATCCCCCAACTCTTATGAAGATACTGTTCACAGTTTCCAAACAGCTACAAATCAAGTCCTTCATCACCATAGGAGTGGTTACAAAACATCCTTACCCATGATGCCCTTATTCTTTAATCTGTAAAAATAGTCAAATTCAATTACCTTTTTCCTGAAGGGAGAAAGGAAGCTAAAATAGAGACAAATATCACACCTAACATAAGTTACATATAATATTGAAAGTTTTCTAGACACTTCTGCAAGATCAACCAACCTGATACAGTGGTACTTGTTTTCTCCATCCAGAGTCTCGGCACTAGTAAACTGTCGAAGGGCCTCCTCTAGGGTTGCTATCTCCCCTTCTATCTCAACAGTCAGATCCATCATCCTTTCTTGACGCTCAGATTTTCCTCCACATTTCATGCATTTTATCTGCCAATATATTGTCAACTTCATGTTCATTCATTCATTGTCCATCTTACTTGCATCAGTGGAAGATGTGACAAGAATAATAGCTTTACGTATTTCAAAAACAAGCCAACAATGTATTTCATTTCACCTATAATCCTGGAAGATATAAAAACAATTACAGATAACTGCATTTTTTCAGATAAAAAATTAAGTATACCTTTGATTGAAGGTGACCTCCAAATGTTAGGCCCATCAAATTAGTTTCCTCTTTTAACGAGTCTGATGTGTTATCCCCAGATTCGATAAGGCAAACAGATTGCATTGTCTCAACAGCAAGCCTATCAAAGTTTAAATTGACTCATAACTTGATGTGAAATATAAAGCTAGAAATCTAGAATTATGATCAATTTACACTGATTCAGTGATGCAAACAACACCTTAGGAATTCATGCGCATCTTCTTCTCTTCCATTACCAAGTTGACTCCCATTATTATGTAGTTCAGATAGTATGCTCTCAGGTGAGACAGGAGATTTGGTGTCTTTTGACTTCAAAATCAAACTTTCAAGCTCACAGGTGAAACACCATTTTTTATTTGCACCTGGAATTGACATTAGATATTAACCCCAGGGAACAGTTACACAGTATTCAAGAAATTTGGCATCTGATGATTCCAATACAAAACTGTGATTGCAATTGCATACATACATGATTTAGAATGAAATCCTTGAAGCCAATAAGCAGTCAGGGGTGGTGTAAATGCCAAGCACTGGAGTACAGCATTTGCATAACAGCTGCAAAATGATTGTAAAAGTAAGAAGAAAATACATCCTACAGCAACAAGTGGTAAGAGTAATATAGATTCTATAAGAAAACAGAAGAACCTAACAATTTGCATTGATCAACTACCAAAATGGCAAGGAAGAACTTACCAAAGTCATGATATTAAATTACATCATAAAATAATGCATATGATACACCAATTATCTATTTCTCATAAACAAATGATTTCAAATTACCTGTTTCCACAGTTTACAAGACCGAATGGTTGCAACTCCACTCTGTTCCAGTTATAAAGCCTGACAAACAAATCATATGGAAAAAGACCCTGCAACAACTATTAATAGACAATGTAAGATAATGATTCCTTAAGGCAAAGAAGAACATAAAAAGACTTGCTCAAGAGTAACCTTGTCACTGTATTTTGCAGTAATATCACTCCCATCAGCTAATTTGAAGGGTTTGGACAACTTTGATCCTCTAAACTGATCCGAAACTTTTGGAACAGATGTTTTCAGGTCATTCTTAGAATTTGGAGAGCAGCTAACAACCTGAGATGAAGTAGCAGTGCCAGATTGGATGCCATTATTCCCATATTTTGTGCTATAATGTGAATGCTCTTCAGTTCTAGACACTAACTTAGTATCAGCAAATGCATGTGGCAGACATCTACTTTCAGCTGACTTCAAGGTGCTACCATGGTTGATAGCAACATGATTTGATGCCCTAGAACAAACCGTTTGCAAGTTATGGACGCTTGAAGCATCAACACGACCTGAAGAATCAACACCCTCAGTCTCTGAAGATGCTGATCCAGCATGTGACATATTGTTCTCAACTGACTTTGGAGGAGGATCATCAGACTGGGATGGAAGAGGGCCACTATTAGAGTCATTTTTTATCCCTGTTGAATCAAGAGTTCTATTCCAGAATCCAGAAGACACTGTAGAAGGCTCAATTGTTCCAGGACTACCATGTGATGGGAGCTTACTCTCTTCTTTACCAAAACCAGTTCTAACTGGATTTAATTTATGCATTGCAGGATAACCATCCACTGAATCAACCAAACTAGCAAACTTAGGTGATAAAGAAAGAGATTCACCAATGCTATTATGACTTGAAATGGCATCAAAAATGTCATGGGCAGGATCCCCAAAAATATGTCCCTCAGATTTCTCATGCTCATTGAAGGTGATACTCTCAGAGACAGAAGAATCATCAGATGATTCACTAGCACCAGTGGAAGCTGAGAATCCAGAGAATGAGTTACTAGATAATTCAGAATTAGAGCCTTTAATATTTCCCACCTGAAGAGATTCAACTCTCACATTGTCATCCTTTGCAGATGAAATGTCAGGAGAACAGCTAATATCAGACAAAAGGGGTTTCTCAGAGGATGTTCTATACTCTGTGCTTTCAATCTGAGACCTCTCATCATGGATAGTGCGGTGGTCTGGTTCTGCTACCTTCTTTCCAATATCATTTACCAGATCATCATTCTGGAAAGTTGGACTGGGAGGACAGCATTTGTCTTTGTGACCTTGACGCCAATGAACAATTTGGCACTTTGCGGAACTAAAACACATGAAAACAAATGTAAGGAATATTAACATAATAATGGAAAAAGAATGAATAGGAAACACAGTAATACAAATTGGACTGTTGTGTCAGTAATAGCACTCAACAAACTGCATGAACAAAAAATCCAAGCACTTAAAGAGGGTCTTTGAAAAGGGGACCATGAATTGAAAATTTCCGGCTATCATATTTCATTCTCCAAACTTCAGAAAGAAAGAAAATTTATGAAACACATGTTTGGTTTCGCATTTACTAAGCGAGACTTGTGTTTTATATGTGATTGATGTGTAACTTCTCCATTAGCCGGGGGATGTATTGTGCTATACACACATTTCAGATTGGACTCCAAACACGCAGAAAGTAGCATTTGTCTTCCAAAAGTAAAGAGTCTCCGAGTTCTGTTTCGTGATCATACCAAATCTTACACGATTTCTATTTTCACAGGCAATATCCCATCATTTTGAAGAAAGAAACAACCAACTGATCTTATGATCATTGATTCTATACGCAAGAATGGACCAACTGAAGGATCCCAACATGCAAACCAAGACATGCTTTGCATGCTTTTTCTTTGCTGCTTACAGCCAAAGTCAGCATATTGAAGGCTACAGACACCACACGAAACCCACTCCACACAAAAGACACCAAAGACCAAGAAATCAACGGCAAACACCATACACTTTACAAATTACAGCATAAAAATAAATTTCTATATCCAGCAGCCAGCAATAAAGAAAACATTCAAAAGAGGAAAAAAGAAGAGTGTTAAGTTTTTTCTTTTCTAATTTATTTTTCTACAACGGGAGCACCTAAATTTGACTAATCACCTCATAATCCCAATGTCTTAATTATCGCTACGTTCAGCCAACCAAAAGAGAAAAACTACGCAACAAAATATAGCAAAAATAGCAAGCAAAGAATAAAATACTAAAATCTCGAACCGTAAAGAAGAAATCATCGAAACCGATACCGTACCAGTAGTGAACCGCTTTGCACCGCGCGCAGCGCGTGGTGGTTGGACAGTAACACATGGCGCATAGTTTGTTCTTGGCGGCCGAAACGGCGCCGTACTGGTACGAAGCGGCCTCGGTCTCGGCCCTGACGGTCTCCTCCTCCGCGAGAACCAGGCGCCTCTTGATCTCCTCGGCCCTGGCCGCCGCGCGGCGCAACCAGCGACGGAAAGCTAAGCCGGTGGCCGGCAGGACGACGCAAAGCAGCGCGACGAGGACGAGGCTCCAAAACCCTAGATCGACGGTGACACGCATTTATCCAGCGAGGGCGAGGAGACGCGCCGCGGGAGCGCGGTGACGGAAGCGCGGGTGAGATTAGCGGGGAAATGCGAGTCTGGATGGGAGAGTGAGAGAGGCATGTAGCTGGAAGACGCAGAGTGAGGCTTGATGACGTGGCACGCGTGAGTGCTTAGAATTGCGTTTGTAATAACGAAAGAGGAAGAAGAGAAGAAGACGACGGAATTCAAGTTTGAAACTGTGTTCCGACTTTCGCTTCGGGCAAGGGAGAAGGAAAATTGTTTCGTTTCTGCTTCGGAAGACGAAGGAATTTTACCGTAACGGGAATTCGAGGGAAGAGACACAAATAAACGTGGTGAAGACGCGGTAAATAAAATAATAATAGTATATAATTAATATAATAATTCTCTCTCCTTTGTTATAAAAAGAATAGGTTATACTTTAAGATATTGAATTATTTAATCATTTTTAAGTCTTTTTAATGAATTATATTTTTCAGATATAAAGATAAAAAAATTTATATTCTCTTTAAATAATTACTTACAATCTTTATTAGAGGTACAAAGAATTTTAATCCTTCTAATTTTTAATAAAATTAGTTAGTTTGTATTAAAATTTATTCATTTTATACTTTAAGTTATTTTATAATAAATATTAAAAAAATAGTGCAATTGAAAATTATATATTAAAAAAATAACTTCAGAAGGATAGCATTTGAATTAAAATAATTAAAATATATTTATATTTAAGAATAAAAAATTATGTATTTTTTTTGTTTATAATGGAAAAAAAAAATATATATATATATATATAATAAGAGTAAAATCTAATGACATATATATAAATTTACACCGAATCATGTAATGCATGTAAATTTAAATAGTTGAATTATTAAATTATATAATATTATATTTCTTAAAAATAGATATTTATGCGCATTTTAAATATTATATAATATGTTAAAATAAAACATGTGATGAAATTCTAAAATCAAACTCTAAATAATTTTAGATTTAAGTTAAATTTATAATCTTGAACATACATCTCATATCAACTAATTTATTATTATTATTATTATTGAAAATGAGATATTTCATATTTCATCACAAAAAAATTAAAATTAAAATTAAAATATAAAATTAAAAAAAATGCACTTTACTTTAAACTATTAAAGTAGTTAAACAAATTAATTACAAAATAAAATTATAAAAAAAACATTATAAACATTAAAATAAGATATCTTTTATTAATGATATCCAATTTATTAATGTTGAGGTTAGAGAATGAGATAGGTCGTTACGGAATTCAAGAAATTGATGGTCGAGGGAAAGGAATTTTGTTTCCACTGCGTGGGAAACAGTGAATTCTATCCTCGCTTGTCAAATATATTATACTAGTATTCATTTTTATTTATGTTAATTGTGATATTTATGATATGAGGCTATTTCATTAGTTTTTGTTTGAGATCCGAATATTTAGAAATAAAAGCAGCTCTCTACAAAAAAAATAATAAAAATAAAAATAAAAGCATTGAAATTAACTGATATTTAATCACGGGCTTCCAAAAATTTTAAGAAATACTAAATAGAAATGTATAGTAGTTTGTTTAAAAATAAATAATATATATATACATAGTAGTTGTACTACAAACTTGTAGCCATGTCCGATGATACCTAATAAATTGTGGAATATTTAATATGTATATATAAAAAGGGAGACAACCTAGAGCTTTTTGTATAGAATGTAATATTATGACATAGTTTAATGACTTGAATTCTTCATTATTTACTACTTATAGCTTAAGTCTTCTTTTTAGGCGTTGAAAATGACATTTATGTTCAGATTTTATGTTAACATTTGAATCATACATTTATTGTAAAAATACATTTGCATTTATAGTAGAAATGCGTTTTTTTTTTATCATCTTGAGTCATGTACCTGTCTCAAGGGCATACTAGTAATCTTTTCGTATTCTGAGGGCCGAACGAGATTTCCGATCGAATATTCCGGTGAGGGGGAGGTACCTGCAAAAGGCACTCCGACGCTCAAGTCAGGACAAAGCACAAGTATCGATAGTAATTAATGAACAGTGACGTTACCTCGTGACATGAGCTATTTATACTGACATTTATGGGCCCGGATTCCCATGAGCCCTGCAACAGGATTACCGGATTAGGTAATACGCCTCTAATCGGCTTATTGGTATGATTAACTCTTAATCCCTAATTAGGGGGAGTCCTTAACTCTTCATTAGTGGGAATCTGGATCTATGGATCATGTGGTAGCTAATCGGCCACCTGGTTCGGCCACTCGGGTGCCGATTGGGTGTCGGCTATCAGGTGGCCGAGTGACAGAGCCAGGTGGCCGAATAACCCTGCTAGTACA